AGTTTACTCAGTGCAGACAGGTTGTATTGAATCTTGCAGAAACTGCCCTTATTTTAACCTCTTATTCCTTGAGCCAACTCCCTATTAGAGAACGTGCTATTCAAGCATTGTGTCGCAAACAGGTGAAGGTATGTCACCATTGGTTGACAGTTTGAAAGGTTGGGCTATTTTGATTCCGACCTCAAAATTGGTTTCACTCCCATCTGTACTCTGAGTGGTTTGTTCATATATCATCAATAGCCAGATTTATAGACTGATTATTGATGATTGCGTTAAGGATTATAACATCTGTTTCCCTAAAAAACATGTGGAGAATAGATTTTTCTTAAAGGCTGCTGACAGTTTTTCTGGATTTATGTAGTGGTACAAACCCATATCAAAACTCCCCTCTGTAAAAACCTTTGACTCTAATAAGTCGTCAATAAAACAAGAATTTGATCCTGGTTTTAACCAGTGTACACATTTCTGTGCTGTTTCTGTATGCGTTAGTATATTTAAAGATAACATTTCAGAAAACGTGTACTGTAATAAAAAACAAAGTCATGATGTAAGTGAAACATTTTTAATTGTAATATTATTCACCATCCACCTCTTTAAAAATAATGACATCGCATTTCAAATTATAAGCTTTATCTTATAAAAAGGGCATTAATAAAATAGACTTTACAAGCATATTTCATGCAATTTTGATATTTAAAAAACCCTTTATTTAACTCCCAGTCAGACGGGACGTTTGCAGTCAGTTAGTCTCACCTGTACAGGCAGTGCTGGAGTGTGTTCAAGGTGAAGAATGAGATCATAATCATTAGAAGCAGTCCAACCAGTCAGACCGCTCTCACTGACACAGGCTGCAGCCATCAGACACTTAGATTAGCTTAGTTTAGCATATATACTAGGAAAAGGGGGGACATAGTTAGTGACAAAATACACATTTAAGTGTACTTAATATATCTCTGTACAAAAACTGAAATGTAAAAACAATTTGGCAACTTGTTTAGGTCCCAGCCAAGAAATAGCCCGACCCATAATCCCCTGTTAAACGTCTTATTGATGTTTTTACTCCTCTGATTTGGTATGAATTAAACAAACTGGATTCAGAGCTGCTGATAGGTGGATTTTGTAACCTTTGGACAGGCTGGCTTTGTCTTCCCCTGTTTCCAGTCTTTATGCTAAGCTAAGCTAACCAGTTGATGGCCTTATTTCTAACAAACATATACAGCAATCTTAATATCTATGATCAGCTGATCCAAGAGGGTTTTAAATAGTTTATAAAGCTTCAGAAGAACCAAATCTATCAGACAAATGTAGTTAAGATTTAAGATACTTTCCCTAAGTTGAGAACTAGTGCAAACTGTACTTCAGTAAGTACATTTAAAAAAACACACAAAATAACATTCTTTGTTCCTTTTTCTTTAATCCATTGAGGCTTTTTTCAAACTTTACAAGCAGTGTGCAGAGAGGTGGACGAAATACAATTAACATAACACAACAGACAGCTGAGATGTAACATTTACATGTCCCTGGTTTGTTAAACCACTGCAGCCTAATGTTTTATGATCAGGTATTGTTGATTTTCCAAGTAACTGTAAATACATTTTGTACCAATATACTATAATTCAATAATCAATCCTGAATCTTCCCCCTTTAAAACACACCAGAGACCCATCATTTTCCCCTCAATTGAAAATGATAAAAAAAAAATAATATATACAGTATTTTACTAATGAAAAAGGAGTGCATTACTTCCACTAGTAATGTCTGCAAGTATGACACACTTTTTGAACACACCATTCTGAGACAATAAATACTTTTCTTGTCCCCCTGACATATAAAGAAGGGGCAAAAGTTTATTTCTGAGTAAATAGTTTTCTGATCACTTCAAGTCATGGCGGCAGGTAGTGCAATCCGTAGAATAGACTAGAGTACATTAGAAAATACTTATCAGTATTGTATGTGTGTTATGCGTCTCATCAAGGTGAACCATATGTGATCAGATTCTGAAAAATGTACAATGTGTTCAATGTACACCACCGACTGTTAGGGAATCTTTCTGTAAAAAATCCAATGGTTGTTCTACTCAGTGTGATTGACAGGAGAGATGATCAGAGGGGCAGAGTTTTTACCACCTTCATTAAGACAGGGATTAAAGTATGGGTAGAGTTTCTCTTTGAAGCAGCAGCCAGTGAAGGAGTAGATCAGAGCTGCAGCATCAACATCATAAAAGGAGACCAGACCCTCCTCATAATCCACAAACACCCCCACCTTCTCAGGCTGAGACTTCAGAGAGAGACCGACTGAAGGACCAGCAAACGCTTGGTACTCATTTTTGTTCCTCAAACCTATCCTCCAGAAACCTTTCTGAGGAGTCAGTGTGATGTTTCCCTTCCTGTTGATCGACTCTCTGACCACTCCTAAAGTCCACTCAGTCTTCCCTTTAACCTGAACCTCGTAATAACATCTACCTGAAGAGAAACTCTGCTTTGCTAAGACATTAGCACAAGTATCAAATCTCTTTGGATTCTTTGGGAGACTTTTGCTCACATTACCAAGTGTAACTTGTTTTCCATCATCAGACAGGATGAGCCATGGTTGTGCTGTATCAGGATCAAGAGTCACCTCCACCTCATACTGCTGGACCCTCTTCAGCTCCACCTCAAGCAGCTTCTTCATCTGTTTACTGAGCGTCTCCTCCAGCTGAGTCACAGCTCTCCTCACAGTCCCCTCATATGAAGGACGGATGCTGACTTCTGTCCAGTTCTTGGTGGGTGGAGCAGCGTTCAGGGACGTGAAGCTTTGGAGGAGGTGGAGCTGGTCTTCAGAGCGTGAGAGCTGCTCCACCTCAGAGCTTCTCTTCTTCAGCTCAGAGATTTCCTGTTCCAGCTCTTTGATGAAGCCTTCAGCCTGTTCCTCTGTCTCTCTCTGCTTCTCTTTGATCGTGTTGATGAGCTCGGCCTGGTTTCTCTCAACAGACTCCTTCAGAGCGGTGAAGAACTGAACACCATCTGCTATCTCTCTGTCTGCTCCTTCCTTACTGTGCTCCACTGTGCGATTCATCTCCTTAATCTTCAGTCGTCTCTTCCGGATCATCTGCTGAATTTCCCCCTTTGTCTTCCCCAGCTCAGCCTTCTTTCCTTCATATCCTTCTTTCAGAGGAACAACATCATGTGTCTTGTGGTCTAAAACAGTGCAGAGCATGCAGACACACACCTGGTCGGTCTTACAGAACAGCTCCAGCAGTTTATCGTGCTTCACACACATCCTGCTTTCCAGGTTCTCCTCAGGGTCGATCAGCTGATGTTTCTTCAGACGTGAAGCTGTCAGGTGAGGCTCCAGGTGAGTCTCACAGTAGGAGGCCAGACACACCAGGCAGGACTTCAGGGCCTTCAGTCTGGTTCCAGTGCAGACGTCACAGGGAACTTCTCCTGGTTTGAAAACTTGTTGCTCTGAGCTGCTGCTGCTGGCTTTCTGTTGAGCTGACTGTCTGAACTGAGCAGCCATCTCAGAGATGAAAGTGTGGACCAGCAAATCAGGTTTTATGTTGAAAACTTCTTTGCAGTAGGGACACTGACTCGGGACATTTCTATCCCAGTGTTCAGAGATGCAGGCTTTACAGAAGTTGTGTCCACATGGTGTGCTGACTGGATCAGTGAACACATCCAGACAAATGGAGCACAGAAAATGATCTTCAGTCAGCAGACAGCTGGCAGCAGACATGTCTCTCTGGGGACAAAAGTTTGAAAAAAACCCAACTGTAATTACATATTCTCTATTTGCCAGTTCATAGAGTCCTACTATGAACCCGGAAATGTAAACTATGCCCACGTTTTATTTTATAAATTACATACATAGACCAATGACAACCAAACACATTTAGGTTTTTTGTCTGTAAGAATTTAAATTCAAGTTCAAATGAAATCTGGAAAATCATAGCAGCATTCAGTTTAAACTCTAAGAAACACAATGTGTAAGCTCTAATACTGTTGGGGGATTTTGCCGTTGTTGAACAGAGGAGTGAAACCTCCTGCTGAGCATCACTGAAGTTAATACTAGTTGTTAAAAAACAGTAAACGTTATCAGCTTCAAAAGGCAGACAGCAGTTACTACAGAAACAGGTTCAAAGTTCAAGGCTACTTACCACAGTGTGTACAAATTAGATAAGATGAAATATGTAATTGTCATGCCTTTTTATTAGCAACACTTGTAACATAACACCAGATCCCCTGCTTTGGACAGTCCAGAACAAATCTACTATTTAGATTCTACTTTGTTTAATAGAGTCAATTATAAAGATGTTTTCAAATACAGGAAATATGAAGATAAGTATAAGCTAATGCTAGCTTTGACTGTATGCTCTCTAACCTAACTTAACCAGAGTTTACATTGTATTTGTGGCTGTTGCTAATGTAAATGTTGAGGTTTATATCTTAACTGACACATTTATATTGTATAATATTCTTTATATGGTAAACTGGTTGTAATACAGTCAGATTCTGATTTTAATCCAGCTTTGACTAAATATTTAGTAAGTGGTGTGTCTGTAGTGTACTCACCAGTGTTTGCAGAGTCCTGCTGTGTTGTTGAGAAGAAGCTGCTGGATTCAGTTGAGTTTTCTTCAGAGAAACAGAGACTTGTCTCGGCTGCTGCTCTGCTGTCGCTCAGACAAACTTCAACTTTCATTTCCGGGAAATTGAAACTCTTCTCTTACAGTGTGGTCCCACCTCTCAATGTGTTTCAACCTGTCAGTGGCAGTTTGCCAAGAGGAAGTGAAGGAAGAACTATTGAGGCTTGTTATTTAACTTTGTGACGATGCATTTTACAGCTGATCCAAGAGGCTTTTCAAATAGTGTATTGAGCATAAGTAGGAATATGTTCTCAATACATAAAGGACATCTCTTTACACATCTGGAGATGTATAGCTATATTTCACAACGCTGTGTTATGGTCCCTGTTTAAGAGCAGTTGGTGAAACATTTCCTCCTCCCTGAAAAGACGGTTTGAAAATGGGTCACGTGATTGTTGACTCACATTCAGGTCAGTCTTTAGTTTATATTTCAACCAGATTCATTTTTATTCACCTCTAGTTTTGGGGTTTTTGGATTAGGATGTAAACGAACTACAGCTTTAACATGTGTCAGATGAACTGATGTTGATTCTGTTTAGTTGTATTCTTTGATATTTAGTTAAACAAATATATATTTATGTTGCAATATATCAAAAATGTATCCTAGGAACTTTAATATAATAATAATAACAATAATAATGATGTGTTCCTGTCCTCCTTCAGTCTCTGCAGTGCTGCCGGCAGTCATGTTCAGGTAGAGAACGACCGGCTAAACGGCGGCCACCATGCGGAAAACATCTGGAAAGGATCCGTTTCCGGGGCCAGAGACGGGACGAGTTCCCGGATCTGGCCGATTCTCCCAACACCTCCGACACAGAGAGCAACGAGGAGGTCGTGAGCAGACCTCGAGTCTCCGCCAGAGATTCAGAGGAGCTGAGGGAGGTGGAGGGGGAGCAGAGTGACGCTCAGGTACACAAACACACATAATATCAACCAGGAGTTTAGTAAGAAATGCTATTCTGACCCTGAACTTTAAAGAGGACATCAGGTGTATGTCAGTATTTAGTATCTCTACTTAAAAGAGTCCTCTCCTGCTGATGTTCAGGTGGATATCAGTATGTAGTGTCTCTACTTTAAAGAGTCCTCTCCTGCTGATGGTCAGATGTATATCAGTATGTAGTGTCTCTACTTTAAAGAGTCCTCTCCTGCTGATGGTCAGATGTATATCAGTATGTAGTGTCTCTACTTTAAAGAGTCCTCTCCTGCTGATGGTCAGATGTATATCAGTATGTAGTGTCTCTACTTTAAAGAGTCCTCTCCTGCTGATGTTCAGGTGTATATCAGTATGTAGTGTCTCTACTTTAAAGAGTCCTCTCCTGCTGATGTTGAGGTGTATATCAGTATCTAGTGTCTCTACATTAAAGAGTCCTCTCCTGCTGATGTTCAGGTGTATATCAGTATGTAGTGTCTCTACTTTAAAGAGTCCTCTCCTGCTGATCTTCAGGTGTATATCAGTATATAGTGTCTCTTCTTTAAAGAGTCCTCTCCTGCTGATGTTCAGGTGTATATCAGTATGAAGTGTCTCTACTTTAAAGAGTCCTCTCCTGCTGATGTGCAGGTGTATATCAGTATGTAGTGTCTCTACTTTAAAGAGTTCTCTCCTGCTGATGTTCAGGTGTATATCAGTATGTAGTGTCTCTACTTTAAAGAGTCCTCTCCTGCTGATGTTCAGGTGTATATCAGTATGAAGTGTCTCTACTTTAACCTGTTACGAACCTTCCGCCCGGTACCGGGCGGATAAACGCGTCATTTGCAGGAAACAACGTCTAAGGAATCTTAATATTGAATAAAACTATGAATGTGTTATATCCATGTAACGGGAAGAAACTCAGCTAACTGATCTTTTTTATTTTGTTTTTCAAAAAAAAAACACAATGCTAGCACTCAGCCTCTGAATTAGCCAACAGCGAAAAAATATAACCCATCTCTGCACCTAAACTCACTCTAACTCCCTTATTACTTATCCTAGATGCACAACCAAACACTCGTTTTTGGTGTCCTGGAGACACTGAATCTACCGGTGCCCTCCTCAACACTCAGTGATAAACATTCGCGACGCTATAAACGAAAGCGTACATCATCACATGTGGAGCTAAGTAGCTAAACACGTAAATATGGCTTACCTTGGTCAAAAGTGGTCTTCAATGGCATTAAAACGATAAAAAAACGATGCTGCAGTTAATCCATAGGTTCATCCTATGTGTCTGTGCCTTCTTTGAAATTATTTCTGATAATCCATAAGCAATAAAACGGATTTTTAGTTTCCAAACTCCAGAAGGAGAAAATCTGCAAATCCAGTTTCAGTTCTAGACGCGTAGCCCCCACCTTTTCTATTTACAACGAATGTGTATGTAAGCCTCCCCCTTCGATTCTATTGGCTCTAACGGTCACAAGGGTATGTCAACCAACCAAATCGAGCAAGGGGGGCCAGAGATAGGTCAAATCCACCCAAATGACCCCGGATGGCCCAGTTTTTGGCTAAATCTCTCTAAAAAGGTCAAATTTCACTTGTTTTGCATCAATCTTGATACAGGGTACTTATTATATGTTGTACTTTGGATTCCTAAAGCTTTTAGTCTACTAACCCATCATCCAAGGGTAGTTTTCACTATCTGTAAAAAATAATTTTTGGACGGACACTATAATTTACAGTTTTTTACTATGTAAAATCTGAATTTTCTTTAAAATAAAAAACATTTATATTGATTCTGACACTTCTACATCCAACTCACAGGTTTATCATTACTTTGAGAAAAAAGATTATTAATTTAACCCTTTTAGAAGGGAAGATATGGTCATTTGTTCTGGGAATGTCATTTTCGAGCCTGAGACCTGAAAAACAGGCTCAGAGTGGAACAGGTTAAAGAGTCCTCTCCTGCTGATGTGCAGGTGTATATCAGTATGTAGTGTCTCTACTTTAAAGAGTCCTCTCCTGCTGATGTGCAGGTGTATATCAGTATGTAGTGTCTCTACTTTAAAGAGTCCTCTCCTGCTGATGTTCAGGTGTATATCAGTATGTAGTGTCTCTACTTTAAAGAGTCCTCTCCTGCTGATGTTCAGGTGTATATCAGTATGTAGTGTCTCTACTGGGACATGTCTCCAGGCTTTAATGTTCAAAAAGCTCTTTATTTTTATCATACTGCCTGTGCTGCAGCACCTCTTTTCAACCTCTGTCTGAAACCAGACAGATTGGAAGTATATGGTAGCATACAATAAAAAGTAAAGGTGTCTTAAAATGTTTCTTTTTGTGTCCTACTTATTTGGACGCCATGTTTCACTTAACTTATATACTTATAGTGAAGTAGTTTAGTTTTATGATTTAGATCCAGATATACCACCTGTAAACTAACTCGTCTGTTTGTTATGTGTTTCTGTATTTGACTGTGTGTTTTTCTCTCAGGCTAGTCATGCAACGTTCTCTGCAGCTCTCCAGGACGACTCCAGGACGGATCTCAACGAGGTCAAAGGTCACCTGGAAATCGCCTTGTTAGAGAAAAACTTCTTAGGTGATTAATCTGACGTGAACTGCACTCCACTGTGTGGGGTTCCTTTGTTTACATAACATCTCTAACATATATAATAATCTGTGTTTTTCTCTTTAAAACCATGTGTTATTTATATTTTTTTATATATTTATCTTATATATTTCTTAAACTTGAAACATTTTCTTTTTTTTGTATTTATTTTGTATTTTTATTGAATAACTATCGTGATAGTAGTATTATAATCACCACTATTTTTGTTATTTATCTTGAATTTATTTGTTTCTCTCTTCTCAAATTAACCACCATTAATAAATAATGTCGCTATCTGCAACATTTCAATAAAGACAATAGAAACAAAATCACTTAAATACACAGAATGTTTTAGCCAGGTTAAAGCTGATTATTGGACCTCGAGTCAAAGTTATTTTATTGGTTTAATTTAGCATAAAATAAGTTAAAGTAAAGTGTCCCTTTAAATCTGTGGCTGGGAGAGTTGTGTGTTAATTGGCTGTCGACTCACTCTGGCCTTCAGCATCACTTCAGGGTTAAATGCCCTACAGCACAGATGCATGCTGGGTAATCTGTCAATATCTGTTTGTCAGCTTTACGTACCACACACTGCTAATAAGCCTGCTTAACCTCGTCTGACGCACACACACACACACACACACACACACACACACACACACACACACACACACACACACACACACACACACACACACACACACACACACACACACACACACACCACACACACACACATAAAGAGTTACAACTACAAGTACATTTACTCAAGTACTCTACTTAAGTACAATTTTGAGACACCTGTACTTTACTTGAGTATTTACATGTTATGCTACTTTGTTCTTCTACTCCACTACAATTCAGAGGTAAATGGCACTACATTTATTTAATACCTTTAGTTACTACACAGATCTGGATGAATGATGTGAAATATAATCAAGTGTTAAATCAGACTTTAGTTCCACCTGGAGTAAATCCACAAGCTACCCTGCAGTATACAAAGTCATTCAAACTAGCTGCACCTTTACCAGCTTTGAGAACACTTTCATGATCAATCATTATAAAACATATCATATATATTATTCTGAAATGGACCAATCTGCACAATGACTACTTTTACTGTCGCTACTTTAAATATATTTTGATGATAATACTTTTCTACTTTTACTTGAGTAACATTTTGAATGTAGGACTTTTACTGTAACAGAGTATTCCTACACTCTGGTACTTCTACTTTTACTCAAGTACAAGATCTGAGTACTTCTACTTTTACTCAAATACAAGATCTAAGTACTTCTTCCACCTCTGCTGTTTTCTGTTTCGTATTAGATGTAGTTTTGGGTAACATGAACGTGTCTTGTCTCATCCTCGTCTGTTTTCAGAGGAGGAGCTGAAGAAACTCAGAGAGGAGTCCAACGTGGATTCTCTGCGGCAGGAGCTGGAGAGAGAGCGCAGCCGCAGCAGCGAGCTGGAGCAGAAGATCAACGACGTCCTGAAACCCAGGTGGTTATTAAAGGTCACCTATTATGCAATATCCACTTCTTCATGTCTCTTCTACATCAACATGTGTCCCCTCTTCTTCATGTCTCTTCTTCATCAACATGTGTCCCCTCTTCTTCATGTCTCTTCTACATCAACATGTGTCCCCTCTTCTTCATGTCTCTTCTACATCAACATGTGTCCCCTCTTCTTCATGTCTCTTCTACATCAACATGTGTCCCCTCTTCTTCATGTCTCTCCTACATCAACATGTGTCCCCTCTTCTCCATGTCTCTTCTACATCAACATGTGTCCCCTCTTCTTCATGTCTCTTCTACATCAACATGTGTCCCCTCTTCTTCATGTCTCTTCTACATCAACATGTGTCCCCTCTTCTTCATGTCTCTTCTACATCAACATGTGTCCCCTCTTCTCTATGTCTCTTCTACATAAACATGTGTCCCCTCTTCTTCATGTCTCTTCTACATCAACATGTGTCCCCTCTTCTTCATGTCTCTTCTCCATCAACATGTGTCCCCTCTTCTTCATGTCTCTTCTACATCAACATGTGTCCCCTCTTCTTCATGTCTCTTCTACATCAACATGTGTCCCCTCTTCTTCATGTCTCTTCTACATCAACATGTGTCCCCTCTTCTCTATGTCTCTTCTACATAAACATGTGTCCCCTCTTCTTCATGTCTCTTCTACATCAACATGTGTCCCCTCTTCTTCATGTCTCTTTTCTACATCAACATGTGTCCCCTCTTCTTCATGTCTCTTTTCTACATCAACATGTGTCCCCTCTTCTTCATGTCTCTTCTACATCAACATGTGTCCCCTCTTCTTCATGTCTCTTCTACATCAACATGTGTCCCCTCTTCTCTATGTCTCTTCTACATAAACATGTGTCCCCTCTTCTTCATGTCTCTTCTACATCAACATGTGTCCCCTCTTCTTCATGTCTCTTTTCTACATCAACATGTGTCCCCTCTTCTTCATGTCTCTTTTCTACATCAACATGTGTCCCCTCTGTGGAAAGAGACTCTGAAAGTTTCAGGAACAAAGATTCTCTCTCTTTTTGTCCTGATCCATTTATATAAAAACCCGTCTGAAAATGAGCTGATCAGATTTTGGCCACTTCATGATGTCATAACGATGTTTTGGCTTGAGTAACCATTAGCCAATCACCAACCAAGGTAACCCCCCCACCCCCCCTGTTCCTATAGTCTCATGGCTGAATCTGATCACCTGTATGATCGTTTCTGTTGCTTTACAGACTTGAAGACTCACCTTCACAGACGCCTAAAGCCCCGTCCCCTTCAACATCTGCAGTCAGCGGTACAGGTGAGTTTATCTTTCTTACATTACTCGTTATGGTTAAATATCTTTTAAATGTAGTTTCATCAGTCGTAGGATGTTCGAATGGTGCAGGGATGATGAATCTTTGTAGGCCAACACGGAAGTAAGCATCGCAAGGGCTCCCTAAACAAAAAGCCAATGGGATTTTACCAATGGATTTCGGAGAATTGCACAAAATAATCTCTTAATCTAACTTTTATGATATTTACTTGTTTGGTTCAGCAGGATAATCTCCACATATTAAAACCACTTTATAACAATTGAAGTGTAAATGCAATCTCCAGAATTAAAAAGCTAATGTTGGGCTATAAAGGAACTACAGCACGGTCACATGACTTCACGTCACCACCGCTAAGCTAAAGGCGGCTAATGTTGGGCTTGATGACGTTTAGTCATCTCATTTAGACTCTCGTTGACAACCGCCATTTTTTAATTCACCAGTGGGGCATTTACTGACGTATTTTATGTCGTAGAACAAAACTTTTGAATCTTTTCTGTTCAGACCTGATTTCATAATAAGAAACAAACAATGGTTAAAAAAAAGTTGACTAAGAGACGGGGGGACAAGAAGTTGTAAAATGCAAACTCATTTCCAGGTTTTAGGACTCATTCCTTCACCACTCTATACTAAGACCTTGTGAAGCTGGCCGTTGAGCGGCCCGACCAAGTAAGGAGGCAGAGGCAGAAATCCCAAATATAACCCGGTGTGGGCCTTTATTAAAAATCATGAACACATGACACACAGCCTCAATCTGCTGTTTCTCCCTGCACACAGCCTGCAGCCACAAAGATCTCCCACACTGACAGGAAAAACAGAGACTAAATACCCACATGTGCAATAAAGCCAACAAGACACAGGTGAGGGGGGAGGAGACAACACAGGGCACCAGGTGAACATAATCAGGAGCAACAGACAAAACGGGAGGGGGAACACTTTTCAAACACAAACATATAACTGGACAGAATTACACACATACAAACCCAACTAAACACAGTCAGCACTTGTACAATTAATGCCACTTAACGCTATGATTTCTACACCCTCACATATTATTTGCACCCGGATTATTCTTAACCGCTGTCATTCTACACCAGCATAAGCACTTTCGGCGCTCTCGCTAACTCCCCTATCTTGTCAGGCGGAGCCGAGGACCCGACCAGCACCTGCCAGACGACATTTCAATTAATACGGTTTAATCCTTTAATAAATACTATCTCAATAATTAGTATAAATTATATAAAATGTGCAAATATGCCATGCCAAACAGTACTGTGCAATCACGCTAATAAAGTGCTAACTGTTCACTAAAGTGCTGAGTTACAAGGCCCCGAAGCCGTCAGTCCACTGTGACGAAGTTACCTTCGTCACAGACCTACACATAAAACACATACAAAAAACCACAGAACACGTATGTGAGTAACACCCATGTAAATGTATAAATAAAACGTTCTTGTTCTTCTATAGATAAGTAATTCTGTTGTTTTATAAAATCATAGTTTAGGTTTTATTTGTCCAGATTTTTCAGATATCTATGACTGATATTTTCCTACAAGACAAAGTCTGGTATAAACCTCAGTGTATACATGTGGTGAAATGTCAACAACCATGTAACCTCCATCTTTTCTTCTTCTCATCTTCAGACAAACAGAAGGACACTTGGTCCAGCAGCTTCCGGAAGTGTCTCTACGATAGATTTGGCGTTTACATCGAGGACTTCCGCTTCCAGCAGGAGGAGCAGACGGTGGAGACGGATGAGCCGCTGAGCGCCAAGAGGTGAGGAGGGGAAACACAGAAACCCTAAAAACTAAAACAACAAATAGACGTGATTCATTTAATTGTTGAAGACAAGGGCTGTAAGAAATGTTTTATGTTTCAGAAAATGCATAAAGAAAGTGTAATTAGACAGTATGAAGTTGACTTTTGATCGTGTTCTGGTTTTATGTTTCAGTATTTGTAAGCAACTGTGACTGAAAGAATATTGCTTTTATTTTAATTTTTAATGGTTATTTCGTTTTTATTTATTTTTGTAATTTTTTTGTAATAAGGGGCAGGTCAAATAAGATGTTCTTCTCCCTGCTCCTTTCCACCATGCGCTATAAAAAAAACAACGAGTATAAGTGTACATGTTTTGTTTTAAAATAACTGCCATGTGTGGAATAAACAAATAAATAAATAAAACTTAATGGCAGTTTGTTTTTAGGTTTGATTTGATGAGGTTTCTTGAATCTTCCTTGCAATTTTTGTGGAAATATTTTAAAGGGGACCTATCATCCTAGATGCACTTGTTGATGTCTTTTATACATAAAGATGTGTCCCCGGTGTGTCAGGGAACTCACGCAGCATCATAAAATAAAACCCTCTCTCTTTTCCTCCGTACCCAAATCTCTAAAAACGGGGCTACAACGGAGCTGATCCAGATTTGCGTCCGATATGACGTAATATCGGAAATGTGGACCCACGGCCCTATCAGAAACGTTGCTATCAGAAACAATGCCTGACTGTTTTGGACGTAATATGGTCGGTGTTTACATTAGCATCGCTAACACTCAGAGCTAACCTGTACTGGAGAGCATGTGTGTGAAGAAGCAGGAAATAAAAAGGAACTCACCTTGTGGTATAACCGGCAAGAGAGAAAGCCTTTGAGCTCCATACTGTTTCAGAAATAATCCTTGATAATCCATGATATGGCGTTTCATCACCGCAGTATTTAGTTTAGACAGTAGCTGCCGGGTCCCGCATGAGCTCAGCCCCCTACTTTTTTTTTTTTTTTTTAAAGCTTTATACTCAAAATCAGCACTTTTGAAACAGGAAGTGAAATAGAGGGATATGAGGCATGGCTAGAATGGGTGATCTGTTTGGTATTTTGAGCAAAACACTTCATAGACATGTTTTATATATATTTGTATATATCTGAGACCTATGCTATTGCCTAAAAATAGCATGATAGGTGACCTTTAATACTATATAGATGTAGGTCCTCTTAAGAGTATTTTAACTTATTCTGTATGTTTCATTTAATATTTATTATTTATTATATTTTTTATAATGTTTTATTTTAGTTTATAAACATTTTTATTTTTTATTTTATTATATTTTTAACTCATGTCTGATGCCTGTTAACATGCCGCTGCGACGAAGGAAAATCCCAATTTGTGATAAAAACAATATGTGTTAAAGCTGAATATCTTTAAAGTGGACCTATCATGCTATATTTGAATAATATATTGTAGGACCATACCTATACAAGGCATATTTATACATTTTCTTTTTCAAAATACCAAACAGATCATGCATTTTAGCCATGCCTCATTTCGCTCTATTTTGCTGTCCTCCAGCCTGTCTTTGCATGCGCTGCAGATGACCACGCCCCCCTGCAAAGGAGGGTGCCGAGTTACGAGCGTCATGTTACAGTACCATGCTGTTACCATGCTGTTACCATGCCACGGCAACCTCTCATTCCCCTGATAGGTGGAGAGTTGGCCATATAGGCGGAGCTCCTCCGTCCTGACGTCAGAGAAATGTTCAAATCTGGATCAGTCTGTATCAGATCCGTTGCAGCCCCGTTTTTAGAGATTTGGGTATGGAGGAAAAGAGAGAGGGTTGTGTTTTCGGACACTTGGTGAGTTCCCTGGAACACCGGGGACACATATTCATGTATAAAAGACGTACAAAAGTGCATTTTGCATGATAGGTCCCCTTTAAATAAATACATCCTAATTAAACATGTGGTTTCCGACACACAGGTTGACTGAAAACATGAGAAGACTCAGTGAGTATTAATACTTTCCTACACCGTTCATCACAAACAATACAGAATACAAGAGCTATCAAGATACATCTGTGTTTCTCTGCGTCTGTGATTGGTCAGTTTCTGTTTTTTTCAGAGCGAGGGTTGAAACCATTGTCCAACTTCAAGAGGAACCTGAGCTCCTGCCCCCCCCCCTCCCTATGAGCCCACTGTGCTCTGATTGGTCAGCTCGCCCACTCTGTTCTGATGAGTCCACCACCGTTACAGTGGAACATCAGTGATTACGTGTTACAATGGCGTTAGCAACCAGAAAATGACACCAGTAATGACAAACAGATGAGAATGCTGCGTGGGGTCTGTGTGTCGTGTTGGCGGGATGTTGCGGGGCTCGCTGCTGCGAGGAGCGGACAGTGTGAGCTGGATTACTGGTGTCATTTCCTGGTTGCTGCGTGGGGTCTGCGAGACAGCGAGACACCGCAAAACTCACCTGAACTCAGCCTGAGCACACACACACACACACTCACAGCCTGGCTGTGAGTTTGTAATGGGACGGGTAATAACTGGAAAAGCATGACATGGGACCTTTAAATAAGTATACAAACCCCTGTTACCAAGAGCTTCACAAAGGCGGACAAATTAAACAGATAACATATTATTTATCAGATTTTAAAGAAAGAATATAGTGAAATAGATTGAAAATGAAAAAACTATGGAGTGTACAAACAACTATTATAGTGTAGAAGAAAAGTAAAAAATAGAAAATAAACTAATGTTTTTTTTTATCATGACGTGTTTTTGAGGAAACTGAAAAATGTTGGGATTTATAAAAATGCGATTTATTGCCAACATATTAATTCATTTGGTAAATTTCAGATCCATATTTTCTAAAACGCTCCTATCTTTTAATTTATTAAAGAGGTCCTGTAGTGTGTTGTATAGGTTTTAGTGCATGTAAATGGTCTGCAAAGGCTAAAATCTCAAAGTTCCCCCCAGAGGGAGTTTCTCGCCGACACAGTCTCAACAAAACATTTTAAGAAGGATAAATGTATATTTTGAGCATTCATTTTGAAGTTTAACTAAACTTTGTTGACTATAAATATACGTTTTTCATTTAGTCGTGACCTCATCTTGATTCGTGACACCTTTTAATTATTGCATCTTCATCTATTAGTGTGCATTCACATGAATTATCTATATAAAGACACCTTCAAAATGTGTGTTTGTGTTGTGTGTGTGTGTGTGTGTGTGTGTGTGTGTGTGTGTGTGTGTGTGTGTGTGCGTGTGTTCTGCAGGTCTACAGGAACATCGGCACGGCTGGGCCGTCCCGATGTTCCTGTTCCTCGCCATCGTCCGCCTCTCTTTAAATTATCTCATCGCCAGGTCAGTGCAAGCCCCGCCCCTCTCTCTCCTACAGCCAATCACATGGCCCCAATCAGAGACTGTCAATCAGGTTGACATGCATCCTCTTGAATAGCCCATTTAAAGGGCCCATGTCATGGCCATTTCCACTGATCATAATTACATTGTTGAGGTATACTAAAATAGATTTATACTGTGCAATTTTCCAAACTCACATTGGTTTCGCATACAGCATCTCTGTCAAGCATGTGTATTCAGCAGTATTCACTTTCTCCACTAAACGACTCGTTGGAGCTCTTGCCCCCCCCTCCCTGTGAGCCTAGTGTGCTCCGATTGGTCAGCTCGGCCACTCGTTCTGATTAGTCAACCACCAGAGAGGCTGCGCCCATGTCAGTGCTTTTCCCGGCTGCTCTCAGCGTAACATCAGTCTTATCATGGCGTCGGTACAAGCGGTATATTTTATATACATATATATTTTAACTGTTGTTATAGAAGAGTGTGACGGCCTCAGGGCCTTTGTCTTACGGTGGGGTGGAGCTGAAGAGGGTAATCAGCGCGATCACGGACACCTCCGTAGCCGGTGCTATTAATCCCAGCGGCCCGGAGTCTCTCTCCAAAGCGGCTGCAGAAGGACGAACTGAGCGACCCTCTCCCCTCGACCACCTGTCTCTGCATTTACTACAATAAATGTGCCGTGGTTTTGTAAACTCGTGTATGTCTCCTTGTCTTTCCGTTGTGGCCTACGAGCTACTCTCATAACAAAGAGTAAGTTATTTTTACCCGTTATAAACTACTACTGTTTGATGAGAAATCAAATCATGGTTTGCTATATATGAATTCAGGGAAGAAAGGATAGGCCTACTAAGTATTTCCATTAAACTTTATTTTTAGAAATGTACAAAATGAACATAAATATACATATATACACGGTATATCATCCATTCCTCCTCCTCGCATCTTGCCTTTTAGCACCCTCAGTAGTAGTAGAATCCCTTCCCCGTCATGGATTGTCCGCCAGGATCTGGCTGGACGAAATCAAATGCAAATCACAAAATATTAGAGAAACTTAGTTGTTTTAGATTCGTTAGTAGTAGTTGTGTAATGAACAGCTTGCCTGCTAATATGCTAACCTAGCTTTGTTTACCTTGGTAGCTAACACGATATGAACGTTAGCTTGGAGGAAAGGCAACTATAATGCAGTGTAATAAAACTACTATGAACAAAAGCTAGTGGTTCATATTAGGCTAGCAATAACGTGTTTATAATTGCAATCGTATACGGGTATTCTGCTACGTTCGGTCATACAATGTAACTTGCATGAATACATTGTTTTGCGCTAGCATACAGCTAGCCTCGTTAGCTACATGCAGTATATGTACGGTCACAATGTACGGTAAATCACAGTACAGTATACTGTATGAGTATTCCGTGTGTGTGACTGCAGACATTCTCCTGCCATGACAAACATGTAAGGCCATCTGCTGACATTGTAGTTGATATATTTAAACGCTAGCAACGTAGCATCACAAAAATGTTTTTCTGACCGAAACTAGCTCTAGCTCCGTGTGTTAGATCGCTACGCCAGCTATAATGTAATTACGTTTCGCGACTGACCGGCAAATCACCCGGAGTATACTGTCAATAGGTATTTTGTGTGTGAATGCAGACATTCTCCTGCTATGAGATACATGTATGCAAGGCCATCTGCTGATATTAGAGTTGATATATGGAAACTCTAGCAACTTAGTTAGCACTGTGTCAATGGCTTAGCAGTCCAACACAGTTTACACATTTAAACAGTCTTGTTTGATAAATACACAAATAACAATGCAAACTTACAGGTTGTATACCCAGATCTTCCCCTGCTCCAAACGGTCCAAACAAGCTGTGCATATCCGGCCTCAAACTGGGCAATGTTTTGGAAGCTTGTGAAATGCCGGTTCTTCGAACCTCTGGAGGAGGAACACGACGCTGCTGGTGTGGCCATAGCTCTTCGGGATTGGTCCATTTCGTTCCGGGTACCGCATGACATCAGGCGGTACCCGGAACTAAATGGAAGACTCAAATGGGCAGTGACGTATCTCCAACGAGGCGTTTTGGGGAGGTATTTTCTGTGTTAGAGTTTTACTCGCTACAGGGTGTACTTTGAGGGTTTTGACTCTGCACACCGTTTACATGCATAAAAACCTTCATAACACACAAGGGGACGGGTAATAACCGGAAAAGCATGACATGGGAGCTTTAAGTAACATGCAGGTGAATCAGATGAATAATAGATCAGGGGGGGGGGGGGGGGGTTCATTACATGTGTGCATCTTAACTCCAGTCAACTAATTTATCAGACAAAATATTTTGAAACTATTTTGTAAAAGTATTTACCGTAAATGTTATTTTTCATGCAGAAATGGCAGAAAATGCTGTTTTCAGCTTTCCAAAATATAGAGATTCACTGCTTTTATGTTTTATATCATATTAAACTGAATATCTTTGGAATTTGTACTTAAAAACAGGACATTTTAACACATCACCTGTGAGGAACTGGTAGGCTATTGGCACTGTTATCTGGGATTTATGATAACAATCAATTGAATAATATAATTGTTAGTTACAGCTATTTCTCAGACGCTCCATTAATGAGCTGTTGATTCTGGCTCGTTTAGGGTACTTAGACCCCGGTATACGTAACTTTATAACTCATATGTTCTTTAACCTGTTTCACGCCTTCCCCCCGGTACCGGGCGGATAAACGCGTCATTTGCAGGAAACAACGTCTAAGGAATCTTAATATTGAATAAAACTATGAATGTGTTATATCCATGTAACGGGAAGAAACTCAGCTAACTGATCTTTTTAATTTTTTTTTTCAAAAAAACCCCACAATGCTAGCACTCAGCCTCTGAATTAGCCTCGATCGAAAAAACGGGACCGACAAAGACACATAAACTCACTCAGAACTCCCTTATTACTTATCCTAGATGCACAACCAAACACTATTTTTTGGTGTCCTGGAGACACTGAATCTAACGGTGCCCACTTCAACACTTAGTGATAAACATTCGCGACGCTATCAACGAAAGCGTACATCATCACATGTGGAGCTAAGAAGCTAAACACGTAAATATATCTTACCTTGGTCAAAAGTGGTCTTCAATGGCATTAAAACGATAAAAAAACGATGCTGCAGTTAATCCATAGGTTCATCCTATGTGTCTGTGCCTTCTTTGAAATTATTTCTGATAATCCATAAGCAATACAACTGCGTTTTACTTTCCAAACTCCAGAAGGAGACATTCCTCCAGTTTAGTTTCGCTTTCCACACGCGAAGCGGCAACATTTTTTCTTTACAATGTGTGTCTATGTAAGTATCCTCCTTCGATTCTATTGGCTCTAACGGTCACAAGGGTATGTCAACCAACCAGATCGAGCAAGGGGGGCCAGAGATAGGTCAAATCCACCCAAATGACCCCAGATGGCTCAGTTTTTGGCTAAATCTCTCTAAAAAGGTCAAATTTCACTTGTTTTGCATCAATCTTGATACAGGGTACTTATTATATGTTGTACTTTGGATTCCTAAAGCTTTTAGTCTACTAACCCATCATCCAAGGGTAGTTTTCACTATCTGTAAAAAATAATTTTTGGACGGACACTATAATTTACAGTTTTTTACTATGTAAAATCTGAATTTTCTTTAAAATAAAAAACATTTATATTGATTCTGACACTTCTACATCCAACTCACAGGTTTATCATTACTTTGAGAAAAGATTATTAATTTAACCCTTTTAGAAGGGAAGATATGGTCATTTGTTCTGGGAATGTCATTTTCGAGCCTGAGACCTGAAAAACAGGCTCAGAGTGGAACAGGTTAAAACTACTCAATGGGAAATAGAAAGGGGTTAACTATGTGTTTAAGAGTGTAAA